CACGTACCGCAAAAAAAAAAAAAAAGGTTAAAATGGCATATATATATTCTTACCATTTTATTTATTCCACAGTTTTAAAAGGGGGCTCCCTAAAGTTGTTTAAGCCTTAGGCCCACAAACTTGGATCTGTTCCTACCAATGGAATAAACAATTCCATAATAACACAAATATAACATTTTAAAATGACAATCACATATTCAGTAACAGAAGGGTTAAGGGTGTTTTTCTTTTTTTCCTCTTAATAAACGAGATTCATCAAACTATTGGAAAATGGGAAGTTCTGCTTTTCAGAAATCCTAAATGATAAATCACAAACATCAGATTCCAGATTTTCTATACAACGACCACTAAGAAATTAAAGATGGCTGACTCATACTATTCTTTAAAGTTGCCTAGGAGGGGGCTTCCCTAGTGGCACAGTGGTTAAGAATCCACCTGCCAATGCAGAGGACATGGGTTCAAGCCCTGCTCCAGGAAGATCCCACATGCCACGGAGCAACTAAGCCTATGCGCCACAACTACTGAGCCTGCGCTCTAGAGCCTGCGAGCCACAACTACTGAGCCCGCGAGCCACAACTACTGAAGCCTGCGCACCTAGAGCCCGTGCTCCGCAACAAGAGAAGCCACCGCAATGAGAAGCCCGCGCACCACAGTGAAGAGTAGCCCCCACTCACCGCAACTAGAGAAAGCCCGCGCACAGCAACAAAGACCCAACGCAGCCAAAAAAACCCCAAAATAAATAAATAAAATAAATAAATTTCTAAAAATGCTGGTATATATATATTAAAAAAAAAAGTTACCTAGGAGGGACCACATTATGGTTTAGACATTTTATAGAAACAGAAGTCCAGAATCCCTAGGCACTCATTCCTATCCTGCACTCAACAAATTCTTGTGGAAGTTTCTTTTGTATGAAAACAGTAAAAGAAAGTTTATTTTAAAGAGAACTGGAGGATGTTATGAGAGTTTCATGATATGTAGTAGAGATTTCTATACCATAAATAATGAGGAAATCCTGGAGCTGACCTTTTTTCTCAAAGTTTTGGAGAAATCTTCTTTAGAGAAGATTTGATGTTTCCAATAAAAATCCTTACTAACGTGCTTTACAATTAGCTTTCACCAGGAATCTAAGTTGAAATTTAAAAATATACTCTACTTGTTCCATTACTTTCATATCCTCACTTTAAATGAGCAGATAAAAACCAAGAAGAGCATAGAATGTTGTGCCTTATTCCCCATAAACCCAAACTGAAAGTTTAACACACTATTTTATTAGCAAGAGGTAAATTAAGTAGTAGTTATAATTTTTTTTTTCTTTTGGCTGTGCAGCAAGGCATGTGGGATCTTAGTTCCCTGACCAGGGATCAGGATCGTACATGCGCCCACTGTGGTGGAAGCGCAGAGTCTTAACCACTGGACCACCAGGGAAGTCCCTTATAAACGTTTAATACAGAATTACCCAGCAGTTTTAATAATAAACTGAATGAACATTTAACCAAGAATTACTGGATTATTTTTAAAGTCTATTACATATCTCGTCAGGTAACTAGAATTCCTCTTTCAAGCTTTAGAATGGTGCAAATGATATACTCACAGGTCATGGAATTAAAGAAACCCTTCCTTTTATACTAATCCAAAGGTCCACACTTGTGGCTTGGAGATCACCAGCCACAGTCATCACTTTAGGAGCATGCTAATTTTTAGTAGTTAAACTCAGAAGAGTCCCTGTATTAATGTAGAAATGGGATGTTATTGATGAGTGTTATTAAGATAGTATTTATATTAGGACTCTGGATTAAAAGTGATAGAATTCCATCCTGAACTAGTTTAAACAATAAAAGGAAATTGGTTGGCTTCGGGCATTTTCTTGGCTTTGGACACGTGTATGGCTTCAGGTATGGCTGGAGTCAGGGGTTCAAATGTTATCAGAATGTTGTCGCCCTATTTCCATGCTTTCTCTATGTTGACTTCATTCTCTAGATTTTCCTTATGTGGTGGGCAAAGGAGAAATTTTCTTCCCTATAGAAGATACACTTTGGACAACACATTGTCAGATAATTACATAGGGTATTACAGAGAAGAAGCCCACATAGTTAACTCCTTCTGTTTTGCATGTGCAAAATCAAGACCCAGATAAGTAACCTGCTGAATGCCATTCTACAATTTAGTGATACAAGAACAAATGGTAATACTCCACAGTAATAAAGAACATTTTTTTTTACCCTACTAATGTAGAGCATGCATATTTTGGTCCCAATCACTTTCTGAATTTATGATGACTGCATTCTTATTTATTCTAGAGAAAAACATCTATTTTTTTTCTTTGTAACTTTATTCATTTTATTTATTTATTTTTGGCTGCGTTGGGTCTTCACTGCTGCACAGACTTTCTCCAGTTGCGGTGGGCGGGGGCCACCCCTCCATTGTGGTGTGCAGGCTTCTCATTGCGGTGGCCCCTCTTGTTGTGGAGCACGGGCCCCAGGCGCGCAGGCCTTAGTAGTTGTGGCACATGGGCTTCAGTAGTTGGGGTGCGTGGGCTCTAAAGCAGAGCGCAGGCTCAGTAGTTGTGGCGCGTGGGCCCAGCTGCTCCATGGCACGTGGGATCCTCCTGGACCAGGGCTTGAACCCGTGTCCCCTGCATTGGCAGGCAGACTCCCAACGACTGCGCCACCAGGGAAGCCCCCAAACATCTATTTTCTTATCAATATTTCTTACCTACCAATATTGCAAAAACGGACACACAAAAACTTCCTAAATACCACTGAAAGGGTCTCCTGTTGTAGTAACTCAAGTTCTTAGCTCTCCTAGCAATCTTTGAACCAACATGATCTTACCTGCACACTCTGGAGCCTGTGTGCCGCAACTAGAGAACCTGTGAACCACAACAAAAGATCCCCACACGCTGCAACAAAGATCTCATGTGCTGCAACAAAGATCCTGCGTGCCACAACTAAGAACCAACGCAACCAAATAAATAAATGTTTTTTTAAAACGAGTTGAGGACTTCCCTGGTGGCACAGCGGTTGAGAATCCGCCTGCCAGTGCAGGGGACACGGGTTCGATCCCTGGTGCAGGAAGATCACTGCAATGAGAAGCCTGCACACAACGGAGGGGTGGCCTCCGCCTGCCACAACTGGAGATAGCCTGTGCATCAGTGAAGACCCAACACAGGCTCAGTAGTTGCAGCATGAAGGCTTAGTTGCCCTGCGGCATGTGGGATCTTGGTTCCCCAACCAGGGATCAAATCCACATCCCCTGCACTGGAAGGCGGATTCTTAAGCACTGGACCACCAGGGAAGTCCCCATACTTGACCCTTTATCTAGGCTAAGAGCAAAATGTGCTTCTCTTGTACTTTGATCCCATTCCTTTTCTTATGAACATCAGTTAATCCTTCTGAGCTATATTTAATATGTCTTTCTCAGCTGACTTCATTCTTGTAACCTAGTAACATGTTTAAATGTCTCATCTTAAAAAAAATAAACTAAGAAATATAGGAACCCATCTCCCAACTCTGAATTCTCTTTTTTCTTGCCTTACACAGCCAAGGTTATTACAAATCATACACTCCCACCATCAGGGTTCTGCCTACACCCCCTATTTGAAAGTGGCCTGACCTACTGATTGCTAATGATATTGGCTGTAAATTTTTAGTTAACTTAATTGGCCTTTCCAGAGACTTCAGTTCCTATTGACGCCTCTGGGTTTTTACTGTGTAACAAGGCTACCTTTAATTCGAAATTCTTGGGGCACCTGACTGCTACCATAAGCAACTACCCCCACATATTAAGCTTCATTAATTACTCATATCTTTCAGTGAATAGACAACTGTAAATTCGTCTTTTTAAACTCTAGTTTTTTGAATGCAGAATGAAGAGCACAGAGGTCTCTGGCTACCTATATATGAGGGAGTGGGGGAAGATAGTGCATTACACCAACACTTATAACTACCACTGTCAAGTTTCTACACTAAGCCCTTTTTCGTAAATGATTTACTCCTGACAAGAACCCTAATATATGCCACTATTACCCATTAGGAAACCAAGGCCTTAGAAGAAACTATGGTGAAATAAATGTTTTAGGAAGTTAATATAACAGTAATAAACAAGATGTATTGGAAGATGAGAGAGAGGTAGTTAAGAAGTCCCAGGAGAAATTTAGGCCTAAGGCATCGGATTGAGAAGACAGAATGACATTATAAAGATTAGGCAGATTATGTAATGGCAGGATAGGAATTACAAGAGAAAAAAGGATTTAGGGCTTCCCTGGTGGTGCAGTGGTTAAGAATCCACCTGCCAATGCAGGGGACGTGGGTTTGATCCCTGGTCGGGGAACCAAGATCCCACATGCCGCGGGGCAACTAAGCCTTCTCGCCGCAACTACTGAGCCTGCGCTCTAGAGCCCGCGAGCCACAACTACTGAAGTTCACGGGCCTGGAGCCCGTGCTCCGCAACAAGAGAAGCCACTGCAGTGAGAAGCCAGCAGGCCGGAACAAAGAGCAGCCCCCGCTTGATGCAACTAGAGAAAGCCTGCGCGCAGCACCAAAGACCCAACACAGCCAAAAAAAATTAAAAAACAAACAAACAAGGATTCAGAGTTTCTAGCTGGACTGAACTGTGAACCAAGGACAACAGTAGGGACGTTGGGAAGAACTGGTTTGGCTAAGTGTTATTAAAAACACACGCCTTACAAAGAGTTACTAATAATATGCCTTAGGTATTATGAAGTGTTATAACAGCAAAGAAATCTAACAGAGGAGATTAGATGTCTCAGGTAAAATCTAGTAGCTTCTTCAAAGAGCTAAGAAAATAAATATTCTTAATTCCATTTAGGTTCATGTAAAGGTCTAACTTCAGATGAACTTTCTTGATGGAATGAAAATGCATGAGAGTTTTGAATAACACAGACTGAATTACTCACTGAAAGTACATTGACTATATGTGACGGAATTTAAAGTGAATAAGTTAGGGTCAATTTTATGTTTGAACAGATAGGCACAAAATCTTATTACTTAAAATATTTTAATTTCTAAAAAAATTTAAACCATATTAAAATTTAAATAATTTCATTGTACAGTACTTGATAATACATTTCAACAAACTGAAAAGTAAAAAAACCCACTAAATCAGTTTACTTTCCAAGTTTAATTACGTACAAACTCTTCTGCTCCCCCAGGAGGATATAAAAATCGACAGTGAAAATGGAATATTTAAGTATAATGTAAGATATTTGGCCAAAAGAATTTCTAAAACTAAGTTTCATCTGCTAATACCCTATAACTACCAGTATGCTTATAGTAGATAGGAATTTAAAACAAAACAAATCCAATTTGATCAAATCCACAATTAACTGAAGTTTTCCTTTTATTCAGTTTGAATAAAATAGCAGCCATTATTTTATCCAATACAGTAATGGTATCAATGGCACAAGAATTGATCTGCCTAGCTGTGCAAAACAAGAACAGTTATTTTCTGTTGAAAGGATGTGAGTTTTTCAAACTCAGTTCTTTTTCATTTGTGCCATAATTTCCAAATAAATAAACAGCTCCAGTTAATGTCTTATCAGTCCACTTCTCTATATGATTACATCTTCCATGAAGTCATCATATAGCCACTTATAGTGATCATCTTTGGAACACTCTATGGTTTCAAAAAGGTGCTGAAAGTCTTCAGGGTACATATCTATTACTTTCACATCTTTATTTTTTTTAATTTGCTTCAATATATGCATTGCATCAATTGGACTCAATGAACTGCAAAATAAATACAAAGTAAATGTGCTTAATTCTTTATCATAATAACTGTCAGTTAATATTGATAGAGGCGGCTTCTAAGCCCAATTTAAAATGCCTAACTTATTATATATAATTAATCTTATTCAGTTTAATAGCCTGCCTATTATATATAGCTTTAACTATGTCTATTCCTAAAGTTCCATGGCTTGCCTGTAATGAAAAGAGCTGATTTAGGCTTTAACATGTTCTCATCAGTTCTTAGGCAAATTCTAGTTTAACATTGCCCTTAAAAATTCTTTTGCCTGGGCTTCCCTGGTGGCGCAGCGGTTGGGAGTCTGCCTGCCGATGCAGGGGACACGGGTTTGTGCCCCGGTCCAGGAAGATCCCACATGCTGCAGAGTGGCTGGGCCCGTGAGCCATGGCCGCTGAGCCTGTGCGTCCAGAGCCTGTGCTCCACAACGGGAGAGGCCACAACAGTGAGAGGCCCGCATACCGCAAAAAAAAACAAAAACAAAATTCTTCTGTCTACCTTTCATCTTTTAATTCTCTTTGCAAAAATATTCTTAACTCTATTTAGGTTCATGTAAAAGTTTAATAAGTAAACATTTAGGTTCATGTAAAAGTTTAATAAACAGCAGGAACTACTGTTTGTTTTCAGAAGAGGAAATCATTTTCACATTTTTATGTAACAATTACTGTGAATAAATTATAAAGCAGAAAACTGCCTTATTCTATTAGCCTAGCAAGAAACGACCAGTGAGCCTCTGACAATAACAAGTAAACAACTGTACTAAAATATTTTGGTGGAAAATATTTCCAATACTTTTTAACTGTGAATGGAATCTTGGTCACAGCTGTAAACATCCTTTCAATCCACAGGCTCTCCAAGGCAATTCTTAACATTTTAAACCACAGTTTATCATACGTGTATTCCTTAATTTCCTACACTCCTGATATTTTCATTCAAAATAGCCACTATCACAAGGTGACAAGATGAAAAACAGATGACTTTTACGGGTCTACTGCCACTTTTAACATTTATTTTTACATAAATATTGTTCAATCAGCAGCTCATTCAGAGTTATACATTAAATGATGATCAAATTAATTAAAATGATTATTTATTTGCCCATCCTCTGACAGTACTTTGAATGACTATGGGCTGATGAGTACATGGTAAAATGCATAACTTCCAGAACTGTACACATCAGCCCTATGTAAAAATTATATAGATACAAAGCAGGCAGTAACAGTATAATTTTTATAAGGCTTTAGGTAGAAACATAGAATTTGATCCAGAGCAGGACTAGGGTGGTATAATGATCTGTGCCTACTTTGCCTAGGAAACAGAACCACTAACGACAGGCAATGACAAGAGGTGGATGGTGGGTATGCTACCACTAATGCCGGGGCAAGCAGCCAGTTCTTCGTGTAGTTAAATTAATCCTGACAAAGATAAAACAAATTGTAGGCATCCCTGGTTGTTTTCTCAAAGAAGGAAAAAAAAATTAAGCTCAGGAGATTATGTGGAAAATATATTTTCCTCAAAATGTGTACCGGCAAGAATGAACTATTTTGTACAAATAGATGAGTGAAAACATGGTACCTCACTGTTAATGAAGATATAAAAAATATAAAAAACAAAGCTCTAACATGAAAGTACAATTCGCACATTAAGTTGCTACTTTTATATTTGCTTTTATTTTTCTTACTTACTGTAAATGGTCTATTAGCTTGGCATTGCGTTTCATAAAACACTGCCTTAACATGTGAAAAAACACATCATAGTTAAAAGGTGTTAAGGTTCCTGCAAATAAATTCCTATGAGGAGTCAGTTGAATAAAACACAGGTTTTGTTCTAATGATTCCTGCAGAGAAAGGAAAATAAAATGTGTTAGTCATAAAATATTGCCGGTGCAAGACATTGTTCACTTACGCATTCAAGCTACCTTTTTGAAGAGGCAATCACAATACACCCTGCGTGTCCCTATAGGTTATTTTTGGATGTGACAAGAATGCAAGGCCCCAACTGCTCCTCAGGGTTGTTTGCAATGAGTCACCTTGGGGGATGAGATAATGTCTCTCTATAGACTGACATTAATGTTTGCTAAAGAGAGGTGGATTCCCCCAGCTCTGTGTTCCTCAGCTGCAGTGCAAACCCACTGCATGCACACCACACAACTACGCAATATCATATTATTCCACAGGACACAGGAGTCTGTGTCTTTGCCCAGCACCCATGAAACAGTAACAGCTTATTAATTTATAAGCAGGGAAAAATGAAATCCTAAACGTGACACTAGCATATGCTGAGTCTCTTCTGTATTTGAGGCATTAACACCAGATCCTAAGCATAAAAAAAATTATTGCCGGGCTTCCCTGGTGGCGCAGTGGTTGAGAGTCCGCCTGCCGATGCAGGGGACACGGGTTCGTGCCCCGGTCCGGGAAGATCCCACATGCTGCGGAGTGGCTAGGCCCGTGAGCCATGGCCGCTGAGCCTGCACGTCTGGAGCCTGTGCTCCACAACGGGAGAGGCCACAGCAGTGAGAGGCCCGTGTACCGCAAAAAAAAAATTATTGCCTTATAATTTTTAATTGGATTTTTAAAAAATATAGGGTTAGCAAACTATGGTACATGGCCTGCCTGTTTCTGTATAATATGGAGCTCAGAACAGTTTTTACATTTATAAAGGATTCTTAAAAAAACAAACAAACAACAACAAACCCACAAAGAATATGGGACCTGCAAAGCATAAAATATTTACTCTCTGGCCCTTTACACAAAAAGTTTGCCAACCTGCTTTAGTATATAGTATTATACAGGTTAAAATAAAAACTGCATGTGACTTGATGTAACATTAAGATGTTTTTTCCTCTAAAATTATTCCTCAGAACAGAGGGAACCTTATGTTTGAGTTCTTAGGAAATCTCACGTATTAGCTAGTAACCCCTTATTTACTTTATAATAAATACCTATGTATATACATATTTAAACATAAATACTGTTTGTGGAAGACATGTTGGCCAAAAAAAATTTCAGTCAGTTCTGGTTTCTAGTTTTGAATTCCTGTAGCTGAAGAAATTAGTAAAAAAGGAAGGCAATAAAATTTTAACATATTTAGCAATTATCAATTAGGGAGGGGAATAACCTCACAATTGATAGCATTATATGTTGTTAACAAGTCTTTTGAAGGTGACTTTATTTTTTATTTATTTTTTAAAAAATATTTATTTACAGTAGTTGTGGCTCACGGGCTCTGGAATGCAGGCTCAGTAGTTGTGGTGCACAGGCTTAGCTGCTCTGCAGCATGTGGGATCTTCCTGAACCAGGGCTTGAACCCCTGTCCCCTGAACTGGCAGGCGGATTCTTATCCACTGTGCCACCAGGGAAGTCCCTTGAAGGTGACTTTAAACAGCATCTTGTAAATAGATTTGGAGTTACAGATATAGGTTTACTTGATAAGTAGGGAAAAAACAACTTTCCTGATGTTCAACAAATGGTTATATGTAGCTTAGGAAAAAAGTTCCAGTGACAGCACAAAAACATGGCTTCAAAAATGTATAAACCTCAAACCGCTTGGATGGAAATGAAGATCATGTGCTTTAAAAAACTGTTAAATATCTAAAAGCGCTTCTGTAACAATTATGAACACACCGACATCAGACATGTGAAATATCTGAATAAAATTTTCTCTTAAAACATAACATTTGGTTATTTCATTTTCATCCCTAAAAGTTTATGCATTTATGTCGGCCAAAAAAGTGTTTTAGCTTTTGACACTGTCATTGAGAAAATGGGAAAATGTCCTATATGCAGGGTTATTAATTTCAGGGTCATTTGGATAAATTCCTACTGGTATCAAGCCAAAATGTATTACCCCTATTCTGTTTTGTGAGGCTACATAAGTTACATTTATGGATAGTGAAACAGAACTAAAATCACAATGATCACTGATTATTCTAAAATCAGAATATTTCTAAATTGATAGTTTTCCTTTAGCGGCAAGAGCGAGAAAATAAACCAAAGTAGTAAGCAATGGGAAAGTCAGACTGAACTAATACGCTGAGATTAGGGAATCATTAGCATTTAATCCTGAAGTGGAACTTCTGAATTGAGTCCGAAAATTGTTTTTAAAACTTCAGCTACTTTATTACAACTTCACTATAAGTAGCCCTATATAATCTAAATGGAGGATCACTCTATAACATAATCACTTTGGTTCTTTATGAAGGGACAAAATAAACAAAAATTAAAGCCCAACCCCTAGGGTAAGAAACAAGATGTACCTGTTAGTGAAATAAACCATTATAAGTAGTAATATTATATATATGATTTATTAATAAGGTATAAAATCTTGTTTTCAGTTTATCAAATCAGATGAATAAACATTTTAATATTCATGTGTTTTCCAAATTTGAGAGGTATTTTCATTTCAAAAGTTAAAAACAGAAGTCAGGGGCTTCCCTGGTGGTGCAGTGGTTAAGAATCCACCTGCCAATACAGGGAACATGGGTTCGAGCCCTGGTCCAGGAAGATCCCACATGCCGCAACTAAGCCCATGTACCACAACTGCTGAAGCCCGTGCGCCTAGAGCCTGTGCTCCGCAACAAGAGAAGCCACTGCAATGAGCAGCCCGCGCACGGCAACAAAGAGTAGCCCCCACTCACCACAACTAGAGAAAGCCCGCATGCAGCAAAGAAGACCCAACGCAGCCAAAAATAAATAAATAAATTTATATTATTAAAAAAAAGTCAGAATCTGTGTTTAAGCCTATTACTATGCTAGCATTCATTGTATAAACAGCTGAAAAATATAACTCCCTTCCAAAATAATTTGAATATATTAAAATCAATAAGATATGTTTAAAAATTTTTCTAGATATTCTAAAATTAAAAATTTAAATAAATACAGAATACCAGATAATGCAAAAGAAAATAAAGACTGTTACATTAGAGGAAAAAAGGGAAAGGTATTCATTCGTTCTTACCCTATGCTTTTGCTTTGCCAGCTGCCCATTTGCGGTATATGTGCCAAATGATAAGCAAGACTCCTTGAGTGAAGATAAACAAAAAGAAAACATTTCTTTCAGTTCTCTTTGTGCAAAGTGCCCCACATTATTACTGCCTTTAAAATTGTCTTGCCTAAACAACATAATGAATTAAAGCCAAGTCTCCAGTCTAACTGAATGTAAGAAAAACAACATGTGACAGTTAAATCATATACATTTCTCTTCTCTCTCATTTTTTTTGGATAAAGAAAAGGGGAGTCAAAGGTCTAGCCAAATACTGGTAACTCTATTACTTGCTTAGATAAAAGAGAGTTGCCCTTAATATAATTATGCAAATACATTCTAAAGTTATTTTTAATAGCCAGCATATTACAGTCACAATCAGTTTAGGGTCTATCAGATCAATTATGGGGATGTTTTTGCCCTACTTTAGTGGAAAAACCACTGATATGAATATGCTGGGACATGTAAGGAGATAGACAAAGAAACTTGTGTCAATTTTTAAAAGGATCATTGCTTTCTTGTATCTAACTTTTGTACATACAATTTTGTATGTGAAGCAATTTTAAAAGATGACCCAACTGAAAAATTATTGTGTGTGTGTGTGTGTGTGTATAAATACATATACACACATTAAATTCCAAAATAACAGCATTTGACACAGACTTAAAAGACTAAAACTTATAATATTGGATGTAAGGTCAGAAACGATAATTTATTACTAATTGCAGTGGCAACTGACGTAGAATGAAAAATGCAATTGTTGCTTATCTGTGAAACTCCCAGCAGCTCCAGGAATGTCACTAAGTGGAGGAAGGCAAAGCAGCAGCAGCAGCAGGCACTGCAGCTTCCCCCCACACTTGGTCTATCCACAGCAGTTTAGGGCACTGCAGTGGGCCCAGAGAAGACCTCACTCCCATCTACCAAACCCACAGGAGAGGAAGACCTGCAAGACCTTGGGAATTGGATTCAACAACAGACCATCCAGTAGTAGATATAGAATGGACAAATGTTAAAAATGCTGGGTCTAGAAAGACCTCTCCTTTCTGGAGGTTAATACATGGCAAAACTCAACATAGGGCTTTTGAAAACAAAAACTGCAGAAAAAGAAAACTGTCCTGAAAGCTGAAGTCCTCAGAGGGCCTTCTATCAAGAAACTAGCCAAAAGCCAGGAAGAGAGAAGAGCTGAGATGAAAAGCCAACAGAATGAGAGGAGATCAGTGGGGTTAAGAAAGGATTTTAGGGAAACCAAGAACTACAGTACCAAGATTACAATATGTAGTATAGGCAGAAAGCAGGGTCAGTGCCATGAAGGCTAAACGTGAAAAAGATTTCTGGGAATACAGAAAAAGGATGAGAGTATGACAGATACGAAAGACAAGGAACAGAGAGAGCCAACCTAAGAACCTGATACATTCTGGAGGAAAAAAACCAGAATCGGAACAAAAGCTAAAATCAAATGAGATAACATTCTAACAACTAAGTATGCACTGAAGGTCTTAATGTGTTCCTGGACAAAAGCAATGAAGAGACTACATAGAGGAAACACTCTTTTAAAATTAAACCAATATATCCTTGGAAGAACAAGGGCTCATAAAATATACAAACATAGGGCTTCCCTGGTGGTGCAGTGGTTGAGAGTCCGCCTGCCGATGCAGGGGACATGGTTTTGTGCCCTGGTCCGGGAAGATCCCACATGCCGCGGAGCGGCTGGGCCTGTGAGTCATGGCTGCTAAGCCTGCGCGTCCAGAGCCTGTGCTCCGCAACGGGAGAGGCCACAACAGTGAGAGGCCCGCGTACCACAAAAAAAAACAAAAAACAAAAAACAAACATATTCTGTATAAAAACAATTTGATATATAGTCTAGTCTACTAAAATAAAAAAAAGAGAATGGGTAAATTATGGTATGAAAGAAATGGTATTTATTGTTTTTTTCTTATGCTTTTAGGCCTCTATTAAAAATGGCAGAGACACACACACACAAAATGGTAGATACTAGTCTCATGTGGCTACTGAACATGTGAAATGTGTCCAGTCTGAATTGGTTGTAAGTGTAAAATATACAATGGATTTTTAGTACACAAAAAAGAATGTAAATTATGTAATAACTAATTTAAAAATATTACACACTGAAATTATGTTCTGAATTGAGAAGATTCAATAAAACATAATATTAAAATTAATTTCACCTGTTTCTTTTTTACTTTCCGTAACCTGGCGACTAAAAAAAATGTAAAACTACATATGTGGCTTGCATTGTCTTCCTATTAGACAACTCTGATCTTGCCTAAGGAAATAAACTAAAAAGGGGAATGCTCTATAATGAGGTATTATACTCATTAAAAACTTAATTTATAAAAACTTATTATATAGTCTTAAAAACTTAAGAAAAATGTTTAGGTAGAAGGGAAAAAAATCTTATAATTAACTATTACCTATTAAATAAAAAAATAATATAATCTCCTCTACACAAAAAAGAAAAAACAGGAAAAATAAAAGACTAAAATTATGCCACCAACAACAATAGTGACCTCTGGGTGGTAGCACTGTAGTGATCATTTTTTAAATTCTTTTCTTTCTTTAACATGTCTCACACTTTTACACTGAGAATATATTAGTTTTACAATGAGAGAAGTATATAAATATTTGTGACAGAAAAACATCAGTATAGTGCTCTATTATCTTAAACACTTGGGAAAAACAATAAAATTAATCTGGTCACAGAAATACAGCCTCTGAAAAACCATGAAGTTCTTTGTTGAAATTTAGAAGGATTTTACTCACTGTATGCAGGAGCTTAATTCCACAAGCTATTTGACAGAGCACACTTAATGCTTGATACAAGCTTGGATTTTGGGGATTTGCCATTATTTTCTAGAAAAAGGAAAACAGAAGTTACATGTTATACATAGCTATAGCCAATCAGTCAAAATCATATGTCAGATCTTAATACCTTAATGATATCTAGAAATGAAAGAAAATTAGAATTAAATGCAGAATCTTAACCATTTCAAAGAAAAGAAAGTCTTCTTAAACTTTCATATTGAAATATATCATCATGTACACTTTAAATATAATGTATTTGAGACTGATTTCCTTTAACCATATTACCTATCAGGGCAAATTCTCATTAAACAAAAAGTGACACAGAAGTGTATAATTACTGTGGTGAAGGGTAAGTGTGATAGAAACGTGCATTAGCTGGGCTATTAAATTTTGAGTCAAGAATTACTTAGGCTGACACTTGAGGATCAGAGGTACCTCACTGAATGAAAGGGCACTACAGAGAGAGAAAACCAAATGTGAAAAGGTCCATGGTAAAAGAAACATTAGAACATTCTACTAGTAGCAAGATGAAACCTGACGAAGCATTTCCTATTTCTCTTCCTTTCATTCCTTCACGTATGCACACAGCCTCAAGGTTCTGAGTCCCCTACTCTCTTCCAGGGACAGTCACTATTTACTTACTATTTGGATCTTGGTAAGCAAATCATCCTTTCATCTCTTGCTTTCATCTCCCGCTGCCCCCCATCTCAACCCATAGTTCTCTTATATACAAGTAAGCATTTCCAGTTATCTTGGATTATAAGATTAGTAACATGAAGCATTCTGGGCAGCAAAGAAACATAACTCTCAAGGACTTCAGGAAGCCCTTTGATTTCAAAGAACAAAAAGTCTAAAACTCTATGTTCACTACAGCATTATTCACAACAGCCGAGAAAGGTATATAACCTCAGTGTCCACTGGTAGATGAATGGATAAAGAAGATGTATATGTTTTACATATACATATATACACACACATATAACTCAGCCATAAAAATGAATGAAATCTTGCCATTTTTGACAACATGGATAGATCTAGAGAGTATTATGCTATGTGAAATAAGTCAGACAAAGGAAGATAAATAAATATGATTTCACTTATATGTGGAATCTAAAAAACAAAACAAATGAACAAACATAAAAACAGAAACAGAGTCACAGATAGAGACAACAGAAGGTTGCTAGAGATGAGGGGGTGGGGGAAAAAGTGAAATAGATGACAGAGATTATGAGGCACAATCTTCCAGTTACAAAATAAATGAATCAGGGGGATGAAATGTACAGTGTGGGAAATAGTCAATAATAATATAATATCTTTGTATGATGATAGATGGTAATATATAAACATCTGTCATCATTTTGTAATATATAGACATATCAAATCACCATGTTGTATAGCAGGAACTAACACAATGTTTAGGTCAATTATATTTCAAAAAACAAACTCATATAAAAAAATCACATTTGTGGTTACCAGAGGCAGGGGTGGAGGGGAGAGGGAACTGAATGAATGTGGTCAAAAGGTACAAACGTCCTGTTTTGTAGTGTACAACTACATAATTAACACTGTGGTATGTTACATATGAAAGTCGTTAGAGAGTAAATCCTAAGAGTTCTCATCACAAGGAGAAATATTTTTTAATTCTGTATCTATATGAGATGATGGATGTTCACATTTATGATGGCAATCATTTCATGATGTATGGAAGTTAAAACATTGTACTATATGCCTTAAACTTATACAGTGCAACATGTCAATTATATCCATTGACGGAAATGGATAAACAAAAGGTGCTGGGGTGGTGTCTAATTATATAATGGAATATTATTCAGCCTTAACAAGGAATGACATTCTGACACATGCTACAACTTGGATGAACCCTAAAGACAGTATGCTAAGTGAAATAAGCCAGACACAAAGTGGAATACTGTATGATTCCATTTACATGAGGTATATAGAATAGTCAAATTCATAGAAACAGAAAATAAAACAGTGGTTACCAGGGGCACAGGGGCGGGGGGGAGATGGGGAATTAATGTTTAATGGGTACAGAGTTTCAGCATGGAATGATAAAAAGTTCTGAGAATAGATGGATGGTAATAATAGTTGTACCACAATGTGAATGTACTTAATGCCACTGAATTGTACACTTAAAATAGTTAAAATGGTAAACTTTATGTTATATATATTTTATCACACAGAAAACCTTTTAAAAAATAATACCTAAAGAATGCTCTATAGAAATTTAAAAACAACCTTAGTACTCTCAAATGTCATGAGCCCAAATTAAAATCACACAGATTAAGACTACTCTGAGAAAAATCGCAGAACATTTAAAACAAAAAATTAGGTACTTGTTAATAACCTACCCGGCATTCCTTTTCACTAATAAACAAGTTTAGTTCTAGTCGTCCATATTTATATATAGAAGTACAGGAATATAGGTCATGTAAAAGTTTCCAAAGTGCACTTCTCTCATGTTTAGGTGGTAAGATCCCAATTGCTTTTAAAGGGGCACCTGTTAAGAATACAAGCAAAAATATTTAAATAAATTCTTAACACTTTTTTCCGACGACCATATTTTACTGAGTCAAATTAGGTTAACAAACTATATTACTTTAAGGTTATTTCGATCAAAACTAGGCCTTAGCATCTTTCCTTGATCTGGAACTTGGCTTCCACAAAACTGCTGATTGTATCTAGGTGAGGGAAAAGCCATATTCAACTTAAGAGCAACCACCCATAAACTGTGTAATATAAACATGTACACAAATCTCAACAAATCTGGTGTACTGCTAGAGAAAGCTGACGAGTTATAAGGTACTTGCTTTACTGAATGACAAAAATCACCTTTTGACCAAGGCTGTGCTTCTATTCCCAAATACTGAAAAAGCATATCTGAAGTCATAACGGGAGGTGTTAGTATTCCACGACTTCTAGGATCCAGTTTAAAGAAGTCACAGTAGACCACTTCTAGTCTTCCATTCACCTTTTTTCCTAAGGACTAAAGAGAGACAGAGAGAACATGTTTAGAAATTTCAGTGTTAGGCAGACCTTGTAACAATTCCAAGATCTACTTCAAAAAGTAATTCTTATAAAAAATATTGCTACCTCAATAAAGAGGCAAAGAAAACATTACTAACATACCGTAAAATGTAAGTTAATAGAAATGAATTAATGTCTGAAAAGTGAATATAATATTACCAAGGAAAAGCACCCAAAATAGAAACCTTCAACAAATTATTACATATCCTTTTACTTTCTTTACTTTATCTAAATGATTTCTGTTATTCAGAGCTGTGATTCATCTGCTAGTCATGGGAAGATGTTTTAACAGAAAATAACAATAAAAATATTAAAGTGAAAGGCAGATAGATGCAAGAGAGCATTCCTTTTTTCCAGAACAGTTTAGTTAGTCCTTCACCAAACGAACTTAGCTCACTGTGTAGGTCACTCTCCATTTTCCTCTTAATTTTTCATTTACTTTTCGTAAAGACAGAGCCAACGATAGAAGGAAAACTCCCTGCACACTAGAAGGTGTCCAATATACCTCAATCTTTTTACTGCCCTGATGTGTTCACCTGGCAGTAGCGCTGGAGAACTTAGTAGTGAGAGGAAGTGTTAGCTATAGACCCTACAAACTTAATTCGAAGTTACAAAAAATCAAATAGAAGAGAGCAAGGTTTTGATGTGCACACTGAGGTTCTCATGCACAGAAAATTCTACTGGTATTTATCAAGGTTTTAATGAATCTACAATTTAAAGTTATGAGTTAAAAAACCTATGTTTTCTTAACTGTTTGAATTCAACCTATAAGTATGGTTCTATTCCTAAATTTAGTAAATTTTAATGATTACTTTCAAGAGGACCCTTGAAAAAAAACTAGTGAAAGGAACAGACTGGAGGTAGAAACCACATATTTTTGGTCATGTTAATTTTGAGATGCCTATTAGGTGATTAAAGTGGAGATGCAGGTAGGAAGTTATAGACCTGAATACTGAAGTCCAGGCTGAAGACATAAATGTGCTGAAATAAGACACAGTTTACCACAAAAGCTGATGTCTCTTCATCTGAACACATACAGATATTTCTGCAGCAATAGTCTTCACAATTCAAATGAGATATATCATGATTTATTATTATTTTGGTTTTTTTTAAGATATTTTATCTTTTTTAAAAAATTGAAGTATAGTTGATTACAATATTGTGATGATTCATTATTACAGAACACAATTGGCAACATGTGTCTCTCTAGCACATCCAGATAGGAAAACAAACTGTTCCTGCTTGAAACATTGTTAATGTGAAGTCCCAGGAATTTTATCAGGGAAATGGAGTAGGGGTGAGAGGGATTTTTTTTTTAATTAATTAATTTTTGGCTGCGTTGGGTCTTCATTGCTATGCGCGGGCTTTCTCTAGTTGCAGCGAGCAGGGGCTACTCTTCGTTGTGGTGCGCGGGCTTCTCACTGAGGTGGCTTCTCTTGTTGCGGAGCATGGGCTCTAGGCACACAGGCTCAGTAGTTGTGGCTCGCAGGCTCTAGAGTGCAGGCTCAGCCATTGTGGCGCATGGGCTTAGTTGCTCCACGGCGTAGGGATCTTTCTGGACCAGGAATCAAATGTGTGTCCCCTGCACTGGCAGGTGGTTTCTTATCTATTGTACCACCAAGGAAGTCCATGGGATTTTAAATTTAGATAAAAATCCAGAGTCAAGCATTATCCTTGAAAATAATTTTAGTTCTTAGGAGCAAAATTGTGAGCCTTTGGGTGGCTAGAAGCACTGTCTGCTAAGAGCACCACTTCAAGGCCCTGATTCAGGGCTGCAAAGGTTCTATATAAATGATTACTTCTCTTTTATTCTTGCAAATATACATGAATTCACACACAACTTTGAATGGCTTTTCACTTTACAATGAGTGAAAGAATGTGTACTAATGGCTGAGCTCAAGTTAGTGTTGGTGGGGAGGGGGGAATAGGGAGTTAGACGTTTAAATTTTGCGCTTACATTAACAGCTTCAGAAACATTTTATGACTGATATTCCTGTAAGAAATACTGTGAGGAATTCTCTAGTCCCTAATCACTCTATTTCATTGATTCAACTGTTTTTAAATTGAGACTACTGTTATCTTGATCTTATAGAAAAGCAACCATTGTGTTACAGGATAACAAACTGTAAACAGAAGGACATTTTAATACCACCTTAATTATTTTGTGAACATGTAGATTAATCTTCAGAAGTACCCCCCATTTAAAGACCAAGATAAGAGCTATTTTGTTTTTAATTTCCAGGTTGAAATTACAGATGGCTATGTTTACTAAATCACATTTCATGATCTTGAATCTTTGAATAATTTTATGGGTTCTTTTTCTCTTCATGTTTTTGGAATTCCAGCAGATTTAACATCAATTAAATAATCTGAATTCAAAAACCCTGAATTTTTTCAGTTGTAGAAAAACAACCATCTAATGTGACAGTTATATTTTAAAAAGCAGGATTTTGTATACATTTTCATCATTTTTTGTTGTCATCTTGCACTTTCAGATAACACTATTTTACATGGTTTCAGGAAGCTGGCACATGGAGGAAAAGTTTCCTGAATTGAATCAAAAGATTTATAAAGGAGGGAAGAAGAGAAAGAGAACAAAAAAGAGGCTGACAATGATGCAAGGAATTTCCACTTTACTGTTATGTGAACTTGTCAGCTATACATGAAGCCAAATTCACTAAAAAATCCATTTGGATAATGCCTTTACTCCATGCAATTTATTCTGAATACACCAAACTTTTCTTGCCTCTGAAACCCTAAGTCCAGAGTTAACACAGTCCCGTTAACCTAATCTTAGCATTCCAATTAGATTCTAAGCTCACTTATCCCCTTCTAAGAAAGAAGAGGCACAGCATAGCCTGCTAATACGAGGAAACAAGCCTAGAGATACCAGTTATACATTTTGTTCAGTCACCCATCTGTAGCAGAGCTAGAACCAGAAAAAAAGTCTCTGAATCCATCTTTCAGTCATTCAACAATCACTGATACTATGTTCTAGTCACTGGGGCTAACAAGATACGGCATAGCCCCTAAAAGTGATCGTTTAAAAATAAACTGTGTGGGGCTTCCCTGGTGGCGCAGTGGTTGAGAGTCCGCCTGCCAATGCAGGGGACACGGGTTCGTGCCCCGGTCCGGGAAGATCCCACATGCCGCGGAGCGGCTGGGCCCGTGAGCCATGACCGCTGAGCCTGCGCGTCCGGAGCCTGTGCTCCTCAACGGGAGAGGCCACAGCAGTGAGAGGCCCGTGTACCGCAAAAAAAAAAAAAAAAAAAATGTGTGCTTAATTTTACTTCCCTAAACCACTCAAAGGTAGCTGATTGAACAATAAATTATTTTTAGAAACAAAAATATACCTTCAATTGTGGAATAAAAGTCTCGTCACTTTCAAGGGCAATCACTTTGGCACCACTTTCAAGCAATGCCCGTGTCAGGATTCCAGGACCTAATGTATTAACAGAACGAAAAGTTTATTTGCAAAAGAAACAACATAATCTTTTTCAATATCAAAGAAATTAGATGTTTTACCTGTATGATATAAATTTAATTCTCACAACATTCCCAAAGTGGATATTACACTCCTGATTTACATATAAGGAAACTGCGGATTAGATACAGTCACTTGACTCCACCATCACAACTGGAACGCGGTGCTGCCTGGCTTTGAATCCATTCCGTCAAAGACCGCAAAACCTGCGCTCCTTACAATGTTTCACTACCTCTCAAGAAAAAACAAACAAACAAACAAAATAGTTGCCTCTAGCTTACCACTTACTCATATACTCTCTGGATACTTTATCATCAAAGATATTGCCAAACCTAAACAGAACTGACTCCCCATGATAGGAAATGGTGCTTAAAAAAATTATTTTTCAAAAAGTCTATAAATCTTGTGTTCCCGGCATCCTGCTGCGGTCTATAGAAGATGCACGAAAGGGTAAGATAAAAGTTCTTTGGGGAAGATGGTGAAATCTAAGAGCATGTTTTATCAAAACAGTTTGTAAAGTGCAAACTGCTACGGAATATCTTGTGGATTGATGATTAACAGAGGCCATATAAGCTGCTTAAAGGAAGAGGCCATGTTTTACACAGTCTGCAAAAGTGAACATCCAAGAAAATGAAGGCCACGAGGGTCTCACCTGGATTGCATTCCAGGAATAGCTGGCAAGATTTTCGTTTTCCCCGTAGGATCCGCACCAAGGTCTCAGCCACTCTAGGGCTGGTTATGTACCGCTTGGTCTCTGAGCGGCATCTGTAAACACGCGAGGACGATTTTCCAAATCCCACACTGGGCATCAGGTGCGGGTAGTAGTCAGACAAGCCACGGCGGTTCCCCGCCGGGACGTCCATCAGCCTCACCGCTCCCGACTTCAAAATGCAAAAGCGCCCAGCGCGGGTCAAGGCTGACAGCATCAGCCTCGAAAGAAGTCCCACCCCTGGGACCCACATTCTCACCCTCTAAGGCCTGTCCCAGTGTTACCCAGGGTCGTTACATCCTCGACGAACTCCATACAGGGAAGCCCATGTGCTACATCTCCTTGCCCCGGGTCTAGGCCGGCGGAAGTAAACAGGCCAAACTGTGCGTGCGAACGACCTCTCCATCTTGCCTTTGCCGTCACTTCCGTTTCCGTACCGGCGCCGGCGCCCGAGGACTGTGAGTGGACGGCCGAGGAGAGAGACGGACCATCTAGGCGGTGTCTGAACTCGAACTCTATGGTCGTCCGTCCTCTGCGCCTCCTCTCTAGCCATCCGCGCTCTATGCTCCGCGGTGGCGGGCCGCCGGCCACCAGCCAGCCAGCCAGCCAGCCGGGAGGGGTACGCAGAGGGAGGCGGGGCGGGAAGGCGAGAGGTGTCTCCTACACTCGAGCGGCGGGAGACCCGAGCAAGCTCTGTGACAGCTGGTCGGCCGCCATGTCAGCAAGCGGGGCTGGAAGCGGATCCGGCGCCCGGCGGTAGCCCTCCTTTCGTCTCCGGTTCCCAGGTGAGGAGAGGAAGAGCGGGTCGCAGCTGGCCGGTCGGCTCGCGTCTAGGGTAAAGCCTTTGGGAACCCCCTCGCTGCTCCCCCGGCGCTGTCTTCCTCCGGCAGCGACGCCTCTGCCCTCTCGGTGCGGTGGAGCCCTGTTCCCTCACCTCCTCCCTTTCTGCGCTCTCCCGTTTCCCTCTCTTCTGTCGCCGCCGTGGCCTCTTCCTGCGCAGCGCGCCCATTTCTCCCTCCCTAGGGCACTCGCGCCAGGAGTTGTCCCTCTCCCGGCTCCCCGCAGAGCCTGCGGCTTCCACGGCGCCTCTGTTCGTTTTTGTCCTGTTGCCCACAGCCGTGTCTCTCCACCCCTGTGGGTGGTTTTATTTTCCTTCATACCTGTTTTCTTCCCCTCACCGCTTAGGTTGTCAAGAAGCACCTAGTGTCTCCCTTCCGTTCCTCCCTCTGGGCCAATATTTATTTTAGTCTTTATTTTTATTTGCGCGTTTATAAGATTTAAAGTTAAGATTAAAAAAATAGGATTGAAAAGTTTAAAATTCCTTCCTGAGCTTGAAAACAGTAAGGTCTTAGGATGCTTATTTTGTTGCCTTTGTAAACTTAGTCAAACACATTGTACTGTGGAATACAATTTAAAAGACCGATTCCAAAGACTCTAAAAATAGGATGCTCTAATGGAAAATTTGGCAGTCTTTTTACCTATTGGATAGTGATAGAAGACTCAATTCTTTGAGAGCGATTTCAGTATTTGAGGATTATACTCAGAAAGAGCTTTACCCGTCACCCTTTCCACCAAGGCAGGAAACTGCAGCCATTCAACTTCCTATTTTAAAATATGTACAGTCCTTTCTGCGTACCTTACTGGGAGCGTAATTGAGCTTGGTATTTTAAATGCACAAGGAAAAGATTCCTAAGGAATGTATCGCCTAGCAAATAGAAGTCTGAAGATTTATTCGGCTGATGAATATCAAATGGATAAAGAATTGATGGCCAAGTATGGCCTTTTTCGGGTTGTAAATTTGTGAGGACACCGTAGAAAGTGTCTTGTCAACTGTTGTGGAAGCCCTGGGAACCCTTTGGTCTTAATTTTTTTTTATTCTTTTTTAAATATTTTCCCCATTGACAACTCTAGAAGTTATTCTTGCATCCTCTGAACGCCTGAGAGAGCTCCATACCCCCGATCCTTTTACTGAGCTGTCTCCCCATCTCTCCTTATAAAAATATTTCTGTACATTCAGAAATACACTGGATTTTTTTCCCCAAGAGCCCTTGAGGCCTAAATATTTTAAAAATCAAAGCAGAAAGATCTATTACGGTAGAGGAAGAAATGGTTCACTCATAGAACTGTGTTGTTGAATTTCTCACGTTTAAAATGTACTTTAAAAAATTGTGGTAAAAAGTACCTACCTTAAAATATGCTTTCTTATTTTATATTTGTGGACCAAAGATAACCTACTCAACTCTAGAGAAATTAATGTCGTTTTTAATTTTGCTTTTGAGTGGTGTTATATTCTTTTGATTTTGGAAAAGAGAATTAGGTTATGGTAATTATTTCCCTTTTTATAGTGTTAATGGTTTGTTTGTGGTTGACGATGCTTAAATAATAAGAGACAGAATCTTACACATTTTATTTTTCTGAGGTCCCAGGTGCTAGAAATGACAGAAATATCCATTTCCCTTAAAAATGAACTTTATAATCAGCATTTAGAGCTATTTCTTTAGAAAAACCTTGTTTGTATATTTCCCATCTTATTTTTTTAAGAGGTGTAGTTTTTGCATCCTGTGCTATTTTTGCCTTTTTGAAGTAATGTAATATCTGTTTAGTGGTGTCAGGCAAACTGATTCTACTATTTTTACACTATGCTTAAGTTATTTTTTTTACTATCCCCGTTTAATTGACAGAGAAGTTAAAATACTGATTTTTCTTTTGACTTTTATACGGCAGTTGTAATTGGGAAATGCCAAGTGACAGTTTGCTACCAGAATTTAGACTGTGGGTCTACAGTAGTGCTGCTCAATAGAAATATAATACAAGCTATATGAGCAATTTAAAGTTTTCTAGTCACATTAACAAAGTAAAAAAGAAGTAGTAGGTGGAATTAATTTTAATATTTTATTTGATTTCTATATATATCATTTCAACATGTGATCAGTTTTAAAAGTTAATGATGAGATATTTTACATTCTTTCATACTGAATCTGCAAAATCTCATGGGTATTTTATATTTACAGTACATCTGAATTCCAACCAGCTACATGTCTTAGCTGGTGGCTAAAGACCTTATTGAGCAGCACATATCTATAGGATTACTGTGTGATTCTTAAGATATCTTCTTACCCTGAGAGTCTGGGGTAAATTCTATGGAGTAAATTTAAAAATCTTTTTCCTAAAGTGCTGGGATATTCAAACTGAGAAGATTCTAGCAGGATGAAAGTTCCAAAAAGTCTCTTCCTTTTTGTGTTGACTGAGGAGGATTAACAGGTGCCCTGTGCTTGTTTAGTGAGTGTCGTAAGATGTATAGAGTGCTCAGTCATTTCCTGGTGTGTCATCGTTACAGTTAATTACATCTGCGTGTCAACAGTGTGTCAAGACACTGTATGAGTCTTTGTCTACTATATCTGTTGGTATTAAGTAGGGAGAACTTGAAAACATATGAGAAGTTTGAACTTTATGGTAAACAGGTAGAGTACCTACTGTTGGAGGCTTATTTTCTGACTCGGTTTCAGGTATGGCTAAGAGTTCTGTAAATGCGCTTCTATATATGATGGTGTTATTAAAGGAAAGAAAATCTTTTTAGCAAAAACTGAGAAGGAAGAGGGTATGTTTTTTGGCTGTAAAACACTGGGAGCCTGAGTAATAGCAAAACACACACACGTGTGTGGTGGTTTGGTTAAACTGTAAAGGGAATATGGCAGTTTTTTAGAGAACGCTACTGACATATTGACAAGGAATGTGTTTTAAGTTGTTTTTGCAACAGATGTGGTGATTTGCACCATCTCTTGTTCAGAGCTGTCATAACTTAAAGATAACCCTCTTTGAAAGGTGACTGCAGCTCACTGACTTCAGTGGGGATCAATAGGACCCATCATCATTCTTATCTTGATGTCTGTATTCTGATAAGCTTACCTAAATACTATTTTAGCTGTACTTTTACATTTAATGTCAGAATTCACTTGAAGGCCTAATTAATATTCAGTATAATTTAATATGAGAAACATGCCTCCTCCACAACTTTTATGGTATAAAGAAATCTTAAATTACCTGATCAGTCAACAAACTCCCTCTGTAAAACCTAGTCAGTATAAACCTAGCACAGTGTTGGCAGTGTGTGGAATGTTAAAGGATCAAAGACAGATTTGGGGAAGGGGATAGTTATTGGATGTTGCTTGTTTCGTGAGAGGTGCATACACATTATGTAGGAAAACAGAGCATTTTCATTTTGTCTTTAAATATAGATGGCTATCCATTGACACCGTTTTAGTTGGATAAGAGAATACGTTGTTTTGTTGCTTCAAATTAGTCTTAGCAAATTTTTCTTTAGTTATTTAAGGAAGAATAATTGATAGTCTGGCAATTTTCTGTTTTTAAAAAGCCTCAATTTAAGTGGTCTTTGCAAGGATTATATTTTTATTGAGAAGTTCTGCACTCAATATGTCCATCTGTCTTGATACAGTTATGAGTGTGTTCTGTTTAGGGCCTTGAAGATTCACATGAATATAGGCTTTTCCTTATTTATGTATCATTCCTTTGGGGGAAATTATATTTCCTTTTAACCAAGGAATACTTTTTTTTAATGCATTTGAAGTAACTATAATATCCTTTAATAAAAAGTAAAAAAAATCATATCTAAATCTTCAAAAAAAAGAAATACATTATTAAAAAGTTCTGAATCTTATAATAGGTTGAGATTTCTTAAATTGTTTTAGTCACAGTTTTCAGATTCTGCTCTTTAACATGTTTGGAGATGAAAACTTTTTGCCTTTATATCACCTCCTCCCTTCCATCTCTTAGGACTTCCCGCTTTTTCATCATCATTAGCCATGTGGAAAGGAAAAATAGTGTTTGTTTGTCAAAATACTGACAAATCAAGAGTATTTTTCCCTTTGGCTGTAGGAAGAATTCTGAAGGAGTAAGTGACACATTTAGTCAACTTTATTGACATTTGGGCATTTGATATTTTAATTGACAGTACCTAAGAGATTTTAGTAATTAACAATATTTTGTAATTGTTATACCTATTAAGTTCTCTTATGAGAATACTAACCTGATTTTCTTGGAAAGCTACTACCTGAATAAATAATTACATTTTTTCTATGTTTGCTGCATTTTGAAAACCCAGTGAATTAGGTGGCTGTGGATTTGTAATTTGAATGAAGGCAAACTAATATTTTGGGGGCTTCCCTGGTGGCGCAGTGGTTGAGAGTCCGCCTGCCGATGCAGGGAACACGGGTTCGTGCCCCGGTCCGGGAGGATCCCACATGCCGCGGAGCGGCTGGGCCCGTGAGCCATGGCCACTGAGCCTGCGCGTCCGGAGCCTGTGCTGCGCAACGGGAGAGGGCACAGCAGTGAGAGGCCCGCGTACCGCAAAAAAGAAAAAAAAAAAAAACTAATATTTTGAAGCACC